GATTGCCATGGAGCAGCCCAGCAGTTCCTTAGCTCTGACCATGTGAAGACGTAGCAGACCAACCCTAAAACAAGAAAGGCAGTAAACACCTTTCCAAACATTCAGCTTCTGCATTTAAAATCCTACATTTAATTGAACTAGTGAAACTCTCTCACCAAGTCTTCTTTTGCCACGTGAACAACACATAAGAGTACTGCAGGTACAACCAGTGTTTGTGGTAAGAAAATAAAGAGAGACTCAAGTAGGGAAAAAAGCCCCTGCAACCCTAGGATACAAGATAATCAGAGGAACAGGAAGAAGCATTTCTAACAAGCAAAACAGAAGTTAGATTCTGAAAAGTCTTCAAACTTACCAGAAGAAAACCAACAGTACTTGCAAAAACTGTGTTCTTTGTAGACTACTTCCAAATAAAAGGGCATAAATTTCTCCTGTGAGAGAACAGACTTTACTAATGAAAAACCCAATACACTACTGAAAAATTCTGCCAGGTTGTTTTTCTTTATGGCACTTTTTATGACACTGTCAAGAGCTGTGATAAAAATATAGAAATTAAATGCAAGTAAAACCACAAATTACTTTTACTTCATTACTCATTTAGAGGGATTAGAGAACTTCCCCTCATAGAAGCAACATGGTATCATTGTAGCACCTTTTGACTAATCCTGTCAGGCTATCTAAAATTATCAACTCTTTGTTTTGCAACTTTGCTTCTTATAATTTCTTCTGATAATTAGCTTTCCAGCCTCCCATCTTCTGTCTAACATGGTCAAAATATACCAACTTCCAGGTTATTTTCTACACATTTATTATGACTAGTATCCTGTAGCATGCAGCACAAGTGCTGCCTTATGATACCTCCCATTTCTCCTGACAAGCAGGATGTTGCTCCACAGACTTAAAAGCTAAACTGACTAAGAGCTGCTTTCAGGTCCATTTTACTTTTCTAAGTAGATATTTTTAAAAATTTAAACAGTGTCTCAATAGAACATTAACTTGCTTCCCAGATTTTCTCACAGAGGAACTATTGAGTTTTTTCTGATCCACAGACATTAAATCAGGAAATACATGCACGATATCCAATTTCAGAACTACTAAAGCTGGCAGGGCCCAGAAACGCAATCCGTACTGACTAGCTGAAACTGGAAAAGGTCATCTCCATAGCTCACTACATGGTAAACACAGAGAACATCCAAACTCCAACCACAACCCTTAGGCTGATGAAAACTTAAAAACCTCAGAACATTCCCCTACAACATGATGCAAACCATAATAAGTGCAAAAACACCCTCTCCCTCTAACCGCTATAAGAAGGCAAAGAGAAAAAACAAATTTAACGTACTCACTGCCTACTGCTCTAAAGGAAAAAAAAATAAGTGACACCAACGCCTTGCAGCAAAGCATGTTTACTTCTCTGAAGAAATAAAAATAATGAGTAGAAGTGCAACACAAAGAAGTCATGAACAGAAGACAAATGTAAGAAAATGTAAGAGTTTTATTATCCGCTGAAAGGGACAGGGAACAGCAATCAGAATATCCTGATTACTCTCACCCCAGTCACCTCGCAAGCTGAAATACCAGCAGGCAACTACTTGTCTGACAGTGACAGCTGGCCCAAGTACCCAAAAGTGCCCCTATTTTTATTAGCAGATAGTAGCCAAAAGTTAAGTTTGGATTCACAAGAAATTAACATAAATTCTTCAGTCCACATTCCACACTGTTTGCTGTTAAGAACAAGCACCCTTATCACATGTTTTATCTGAAAATGGAGAAAGACAGTAAATGCTAAGCTAAGGAAGACTGTTAGCAAGAATACATGTATTTTTCTACCACAACTGGTCAAACTATTAGAAATGTATGTTACTGTTTGCTCAACATCTCTGTACTAGGTTCTTGCAATTAGAACGGAAGACTGACATTCCCTTGCTATTCTTTCCCTAAGATAGTGAAACATTTCATGATTAAAATTTCTGAAAATGCAAGAAACAGACCATTAAAAGCAAATCCAGAGCTAATACATTTTATAAGCACTGAGGTAACAGAAAACTTTAAGCTTTAAAGAAAACCAATGGTACATATGTGCTAATATCAGGTACTTCCCTTCTTGATCTATGTGTTAAACATGTTTAATTTATCCTGTGAAAATAAACAGCACCAGTTCTTCACAAAAATACATCTACTGACCCAAATTACACACAGGTTAAGGCTGCATGAAAAATAAGAACTAATGATAAAGAGCTGAATAGCTGTAAGATGCTAGGTACGCTGTAAGTAGAAGTATTGCAGATTTCTTGAATCTAATAGCAGCACTATGAGCAATGACTGACAAAAGCCATTGTAAAGAAACTGGAAAATTACTATTACTTGTTATTACCGTACAAAGCAGACAATATTTATGTATAAAGATGTCCAAGAAAATAAACACAGTAACAGTGATAAGTGACTAGAACAAACTGCATCCAAGCATTTTGCAGAAAATGGAAAACAGAGTAACCAAACCATTAAGCAGACTATTAATAAACTCATTCAAGTCAATAACTAAGCTTCTTAGACTTATTCTATGATCTCCAGTTCATACTGCTTAATTGTAAATCCAATCTCTTCTGTGAGCAGAAATACACCAGCTTTACCAGAGGGGGAAAAAATAAATTAAAAAATAACTCAAAAATCCCAGAGAACAAACCCCATTTTAACATATTTTCAAATTACTATCTTATAGCGGTCCTTCAGTTCTTTCCATCATTCTGGCTGCAGCTATTCATCCCACTGTTCAGGATGCAGCCATCTCTACCTACGTATGATTTTTATTATACATTACTTCTGCAAAAAAAAAGAATTTCTAATTTCTTACTTGCTATTATAGGAGGCAGATCTAAGGTAAAATACAATACCTCAGAGATACACAAAATTCTCTCCTAAAGCTTCCTCCAACATCAAGTTTTAACGATGAAATAAGCATCACCAAGCAAAGCCATGACACACACTCAACCTAAATGTTTTATTGGACTAGTCAATCACACAAACTCTGGCACATTAAGCTTTTTCAAGACTTCTATGTTCAAATGTTTGAACTTATTATTTAAATGAAAGTGTAGATCTCTAGCTAAATTTGCAGGTATACAGAAACTGGAATAGTGCATTAATTCAAAAGTCTACCTAATCAAGAAGACACTGACTGGTTTATCGTTACATTTTTACCAGTACTTCCATATTACAGGATTTACGTGATTCCCTGTAAGTATCCCAAAAACATTTTGCCCATCAGCACAAATGCAGTATAGCTAAACAAGATAAATGTCTAATGATGACTTCACCTACTCTCTACCAAGACAGATGTGCCTGTGTCTTACTGCCCCAAAACCCCACAGGTGAAAATCTAACACACAGCTAACATCTCTCTGGGCTCCCTTCCCCCATCTCCAGCCCCAACTTTTTGCAGGGCGATTTCTTCGCTGAGGAATTGTCTAGTTACATCTGCAACTCAGCAAAACTCAGGTGAAAAGTCACTCCTGCAAACCCCTCCCCCGAGATACATCGACCCAGCAGACCGTGCACTATCCACGGTTTCTGAAGAAAAACTGGAACTTTTAGCTCGGGGCCTTGGGTAATGCAGCAGATGAGAGCATTCACTCACATTTCAACAGCGCGCATTCCAAGGAATCTGCACCCTTAGAGAGTCACCACAGGAGAGGAGGGCATTGCTGAGCAATTTCACTGTGGACAAGCTAACTACACAGCTGCTTGAACTTGTGCACATATTTAATAACCCTATAAACCTAAGTTATCACCTCTACAACATTTGTAGCAGGAACTAATTTCCAAAATCCACTCATATGGACAGCGATATTACTAGAAAACACTAGAAACAGACCTTTCAAATACAGAGCTGTAAACCCCCCAAAGAACGACCCACTATTTTGCACAAAAAGTCACATTTTTTGTAGAGGTTGTAAACGTGACAACGTTTGTTGACGTCAGCGACAACGTCGTACCTTTTGCAGCGGTTGTAAACTGAACTACAGCAAATCATGATTTAAAAATAGTAATTAATGGATTGTAAAAACAAAAAAAAAAAAGTTAACTTTACAAAGAGGTATTTTAATAAATGTTCATGAAGTTAGTGAAACGTTACCATGGAAAAACAAGTACTGTTTACATTAGTAAGCATCTCTACTTTAGCTAGGAAAACACTTTGTGGAGTCTTCGGTTTATTCAACAAGCCTCAGCTGTATGCTGTAGTAGATCCCTCCTACATACACTTTCATAAAGCGGATCTGAGCTTTCAAGATACCACGCTGCAAGCAGCGCTTATCCACAGGCAGCGAAGTGTCTCCAGAAACAAACATTCCCTCATTTTGCTACAAACAGCTGGGGAAACTTTTTCCCCCTCAAGGACACACCTCTGAACACGGTCACTCTTCCCACCCACCATCACACATACACGCACACAGACACACACACATTTTAGTCAGCATCACGTTCCACTCATCCAGCGCGGTTTGCAGCGGTACCAACGCAACCTCAGCTCCGTCCCCACACTAAAGCACTTTTATTCCCCATCCACACAAGGGCTCCTCGGAGTGTTTCCGTCCTGCCCGGCCTGGGCGATCCGGCGGGAGGGCGGCTCTTCCCCGGGGCCCAGTGCGGAGCAGGAGGGGGCGGTGGGGGACACCGGGGCGCAGCCGCGGCCAACAGCGGCCGCACGTGAGGCGAGGAGGGGGCAGCGCTCGCCCGGCTGCGCCCCGGGACAGGCGCTCGGCGGGCTCGGGGCGGGAGCAGCGGCCGCTCCGCCGCCGCCGGGGCAGCGCCCTTGAGCCGCCGCCGCTCGGGGCCCCTCCCGCCGGCCCGGCCCCCCCGTCCCTCCCCCGCCCCGCGGCACCGCGGCCCGGCGCCAGAGGCCCCTCAGCGCCGGCGCGAGGGTCCGCAGGGCGGGAAGGGCTCGCAGGGAGTCCCACGGCGGGAGCTGGGATGAGGAAGAGGTGGGGCGCCCGTCCCGTACTCACCGCCGAGGCGCCGCCGCGGTGCGCTGAGCCCCCGTTCTTCTCAGTGCCGGGGGCGGCTCCACCCGCCCGGGAAACACGGACCCCAGGAAGCAAAAGGCGAAGAAGCTGCGAAAAGCGTACCCCCCCCCGCTCCGCCGGCGCCGCCGAAAAAACACCACCGGGGGGGGAAAAAAAAAAACCAAAACCAAACTTTCCTCGCCGCCGTCTCTCCCTCCCCCGAGGAGCACGAACCCAAACACACCGGGACACGCCCCCGAACCGCCCCTCGCACCGCCCATTGGACGGCGCCCCGCCGACCCCCACGCTGATTGGTCGTTCTACCCGCTCGTCTTCTCCTTCCGCTCCCCTTTCCGCCCCTTCACGCTGCCCATTGGGAAGAGTCTCGGGAATCTCTCCGTCCATTAGCCAGGACGCACATCAATCACAGAGGAGCAACGCCCCCGAGCCCTTTTGATTGGGTTCTCGCGTCACTACACGCTCACTGATTGGCTGCATTTGCTGGCTGTCAGCGGTTAGCGTTGCCCCCCTTCACATCTCTCACTGGCTCCCGCCCCTTCTTCCTCTGCCAGTTAGCTGCGAGATTTGCCCCTTAAATGGGGCACTCGCTCGCCCGCTTCTACTTGTCCCGCCCTTCCGCCCTACGGATTGGGTTGTGGCTCGCACGCTCCGACTCCAGCAGAGAAGTAATGTGCCCGTTACACCGTAACGGCTCGAAGACCCGCCCACCGAGCCGCGCTCCGCGGCTGTCGCTGGAACCCTCCTCAGCCGAGGCGAGGTTTCGTCAGTTTGTGCACTCATGTGCGGGCCGCCGTGACGGCCACAGGCGATAGCGCGTACGGCTGCGGCTGCAGCTGCTCAGCGGCGCCGCGACACGGCACCAACGCCACACTGCCCGCCGCCCCCAGCGACATCTCCGCTTCGTCCCGCCCCCGCGCGACAGCTATTGGGCAGGATAGGTGTCAGTCATGCAGCTCGCGTCATGCATTGGCCGATAGCCGACGCCTGCGCAGCCAACCGACGACCACCCCCCCAAGTCACCCGCCGGATGACACAGCAACCGTGGGCTGGGGGTGGGGGAATGCAGAGCCTGCCTATGATTGGTTGCTTCCACTGCCAATCTCCGTGGAAGGAGCACGGTGGGCGGGGTGACGGCGCGTGCCTGCCGCATCCCACGTGGCCCGAGCAGCCGCGCACGTGACGGGGGCCCGCGACCGGGAGCACTTGTGGAAAAGGCATTTAGGGTGACCACGGCGTCATTACTAAATGTAATCGTTACAAACACGCGCTGGTCTCCATTATTCGTGGGGTGGACAGAGTCAGAAACTGCGGGGTGTGTGTGGGGGGGTCGGTGCGAGGCTGAGGCAGGAGCGGGCCCGGGACGCTTCCCCGGGAGGTGGAGTGAAAGCCGGGATGAGCAGCCTCAGCCCTGGGCTGCAGAGCACGTGTGGGCCAGCGCTGCTGGATCGCAGAATGGGAAGGACACAATGGGAGGTACATAAGCAGGACCTGCATGGCACAAAGGATTAGCAGAGTGGAAGAGCAGGGCCAGAGGAGCGTTGAGAAATCACTGGGAGGAGCACATGGACAACAGAAGCCTGTGGAGTGATAAACGGAGCAAGAGGTTCTCCTTGTACCTAATTTCTATGCTCAATCTCATTCTCCTTAATCTCCAGTAAATTTGAGGGCTGTCATTCCATTGATGAGTGTCACTTCCTGACTTTGGCCGAGGCTGCAAGCCAGTGCAATGTTTCCATTTGATCTCCTTGAGAGAATCCTGTTACAACCTGATCAGCAGAGCAGCTGAACACAGAACTCTAGGGATATGATGTTCCTGTCACCTTAGTAAACAGGTCTGTGGGTGTTTGGTAAAAACGTTCTCTTGTCTTGGAAGAGCCACAGAGCCCTTCACAGGTTAGTCACCAGCAGGAGGGACAGCTGCCAGCACAGGAAAGCCATGTGGGCTGGTGGCAGAGACAGCAGACAAGATCCCTGCAAACTCAGGCTACACAAGTCAGTAAAGAACAATGAATATTTCGATGGCTTCTCCATTCAGTAATGGTAATTGATTTTTTACATTGATTGGTGGGAAAAGAGCCACCTTAATATGATTAAGATTTCATACTGGCTATGTGCATACTTGTTACTGTGGTGCTGTAAGGAATACAAAAGGCTCTATATAAATCAATATGAATTAATAATATAACTGTTGGATGCACTTTGCCTCTCTTCCTCATTGTTTATTCAATGTTTGAGAACTGTCTGTATTTTTTTTTCCCCAAGTTGTAAGCAGAAATCACTAATACACCAAGAGTACATGTTTTGGGAGAGAAAGATCTGACCAAGATGCTGACCTAGTCTTTGCCATACATAAAAAACCAATAAAATAATTTCCCTCTTTAAATTCTCTTTCCCTTTATTGGTGTTCTTTTGTGAGTGTCCCTTCCCATGTTTTGCTTAGGGTTTTGGTAAAAACATGTAAAGGAATATGATTTATTTTGCGTAAGCCTAGGGAACTTGATACTTTAATTTTGGAGGAGCAAAAGATACCACTCTCCATTGTCCCTGTAGTTTCACACTACAAACAAATTGGAACAGTAGAAAGCAAGCAGATTTTGTTGGTTTCTGTGAAGTTATAATGAATGACTCAGGAGTTCCCACTCAGGTTCACCTGTGGATTTGGAAGGAATCACAGCTCCCAGACAGGTTCTGGTTCTCATGAAGTCCAGATGCTTAGGAACAAAATAGTTCTTCCTGTTTTTTTCATACCTCCCCACTGCGGAGCCTCTCCAAAAATGGGACAAAGTTGGACAGTGGCAGTACATTTTTTCATCCACTCGGTGTCAGTATTACACTACCACCGTGATGCCTTTCCAGGTGCTGGGAAAGGTTGGATTTCTTTGGGGTGAAAGTCTTTCCTTTCTGATGGAGAAGTGATGAGAAAAACCATTATAGCTTTGAGGAGTGATCTCACTGCAGTATGAGCGTTCCCTTTTACTCCTGCAGACACAGGCTGGGACCCTGCCTGCAGACATCCCAAGTATCAAACCTCACACAGACTGTAGCCAAAGAGACAGACAGACTTCAGAGTTGGGATCACTTCCCACAGCCTTTTGACTCTTAGGTTATGAAAATATATCACCTCTTCTTTTTAAAATTAAGTTTATTATAAATACTGCGTCTGACAGGGAGACAGTCTAGAAAAAGCCTACATGAAGGTACTTACCTAAACAAACAAAGAGTGCTGCCAGCTTAGAACAGTTCTGGATGCAAGAAAGAGAGAGGACAAGAACTTAGAAACAGCACTGATATTTGGAATTAGTAATCAGAGTTTTTGACACTGGTTTATTATTTCCAAAAGTTCCATGACATGATTTTTTATAGGCTTGATAGGTTTTTAAATCAATGTACCCGAATGAACTCTGGATAGTCAGTCACTAAAAACTACTGGTATTTTTAGAAAAGGTCTTTGCTAACCCTGCGTTTTTTTCTGCTTTGACTTCCCTAAGCAGCAGCTGTCTTGTGGACACAGTAAGCAACCAACTACTTACCTGCATGGTGATTAAAAGAAAATTTATTTTTTGGAAAGCCATAGTAAAGTGTGTGCTGATGCTCTTTATGATGTCCTGTGTTTAGGTGTTTTCATGTGAAATATAACATTTAATATGTGATATAATCCTGTACTTCATCTATGTCTAAAATGCAGGCAGCACTGAAAAAGAAGATCAAAAAGATCATCAAAAGAATATTTTTAAAAAGACGATTCATAGAAAAAGTAATAAAAGAATTTATGTTCTCTTGTTTTATATAAACACAGGCTGATTATTTTCTTACTTACATCTTTCCCCTGGAAGCTGCTTTTTAATCCATCCTTTTCTGAGAAGACTTCAGGGAAGTTTCAGCAGGCATATGGCATCAATATATGAGGGGAATAAAACATAAATATTTACAAATATTATAATCCTGTTTAAATACCTATTATCCTTATTTTAAAAATATTTAGCCTAATAATTACTTTCAGTAGAGATACCTGCTAAGAATTCAGCATTTCCTATTCCCTTCAATTGAGTGCTGAGAAGTTTTCTCAGCCATTCTTATGCATCCTTCATGGAACTTTTTAGGGAACAAGCAAGAGAGAGGAAGTAATACTTCGTATGCCTGGGAGCTGTAAAAATCAGGATAGAAAAAAGGAATTTGTGTTTAAAATAGAGAAGAGCAGATTTCAACGCAATTATTTTTCATTTCTAAGCCACCCATAACAGCAAAGAAGAAACACAAAAGAGCAATTTAAGTAAAAAGAAAGTAATGAATACTAGAATTAAGTTAAATAGCAAAAGGAAATTAGGGAGATGTCAGATGTAATTTTCAAATTTGTATGTTAGTCATGTGATTAGTGCTAACATTCCTGCTTTACAAAAAACTGTAAAAATATCTTTAATAACTGTAAGTGCTCAGGACCTGAGCTTTAAGTCCCAGTCAGACACCTCCACATCTCTAACTGTTCTTAATATAGTAGGCTTATTTTGACATTACCTATTTTCATGTGTCATACCCAGGAAAGACATGCAGCTGCAGTAGAAACAAGAGCAGTTTATGCATGTCTTGGGCAAAATGCTTAGCAGAAGTTTCAATTTGTTTTGCTGTCATGCTCACATTATATTGTTGGAAGGAAAAGGGAGAAAGAATTTTGTCAGCCCACAGCTAAAGGGGAAAAATTGTTAATATGATGGCAGAGATTTTAAATAGAGAATAATTCATGATACAACTTTGTTTTGTTTTTCCTGGAGGCAAAATTAAAACAATGCTTTGTTAACATTATTTGAAGCTATTTTAAATACAGCTATTTTCAGCTAAATAATGCTAACATGTGGAGGTTTTTTAATGAAAAAAACAGACAATTAGGAAAATGTTTTGAAAAATATTGTAATCTTTAAAACAGTCTCTTTTTGCCTCTTTTCACTATTTTCAGTCCTGAAAGCGAACGAGCATGTGTATAGGAGTTATCAGCTTGCAGTTATGCTAAGGCTAGAAGTAGTGCAGCTCTTCAGACAAGATTTTAATTAACTTTTAATGTTCCCATTCCACCAGCTTGGTTGAGCTATGATACTCAACACTAGTAGCAGCCTGTGCAAAACTTTGAGTCCCCTTTAGCTGAATCTAAATGGAAACTAAAGTATAGGTAGGTGAAAGTAATTATAACATCATTTATGTACCCATGTCACCCAGCTCCATCCCAACAGAAAAATC